AAGCCAAGATCCCAGCGGGTTCGTGTATAGTTATTGGCATACATATTTCTGTAGCAAAGTTCTTAAAAGTAGTAATGTTTGTAATTTCCCCTCCAGATCACGGCGGTGAGTCACGTTACAAGAGCACAGTTAAGCCATCACCGCCTGGGCAGGCTGTCAAGCAGTTTAGTACCAGTAACTGTGTCTATACTTTCGAAAGGAACTGATAACTCTAAACATGACAGAGCAGAGGTACAGTGCGAATGAGCGTAGAAAGAATTTCATGATCAATCACAATGAAAATGACCTGCATAGTCTTGGAATCGAACCCGGGACGCTCGATTAACAGTCTAAAGCTCTACCATTTGAGCTAACCCTTCACACAAAGGAGCTCCGTGGCATTTTTATACACCTTTAAAGGCAGCGCGTGTCAAATAATTATGTAAAGAAACCAACCTCTAAAACAAAGCAGTTAAACATTTTATACTAAATCTTGTCTTTAAAAATGTAAAAATGTTAGTTTTATTGTTTTGAAGCATTTATGTCATAAACATATTTGTAGAAACTGGCAATGGTATAAACTTAAATCTATTTTTCATTTTGTTCATTACAGTTTAATTTCATCAAAAATAGAGAAAATGGATTTTCCAGAGTACGCCCAAAACGTCAAAATAGAAAAAATATTGCAGATCCAGTAATCCATTTACACCTCTAGCACCGGGTTAAGCACGTTTTTTTCATATAGTGATTTGTTTTTGGAACCACGATTAAGGCCCGTTTATTTACATTTTCATATTTACATAACACATTCATTTTATATTTTTCAATTAGTTATTTTACATAACATACGTTATAAACTACTATATATGTTGTTGTAGACATTTTAAAATGATTTCAAAGAGCTTAAACGTGAATCTCTTTAAGAAAAAGTTAAGAAAAAGGATATTATATTTTAAACAAGATACAATTTTGTTGAATCAATTATAAAAATTTACTTGACTCAGTTGGAAAAATGCTGAAAAATTTGGGGAGGTGCTAAAATATAAAAGGATAATTTGCAAGAGAAAAAAAACTATAGTAAACAAAAACAAAATTTTCCAACAAACTACGATAAGATAATAGGTAATATTGAGAAAGAAAGGCTGGTTTGGTAATACTCTTTTGATATATCATCAATCAGTTCTTATAACATTATTAGAAAGTTATTCCACTTCCTGTGGAAATCATCAAGATAATCATTTTGAAACGCTATGTATTTTTCTAAAGATATTCTATCAATCAATTTTCTTTTACACACAAGATTATTTGGTATTTTCTTTTTTGTTTTACAATTATATATATAATATTTGGCAAATAAGAGCATATATATGATAAAATATTATTTCGTGAATGAAAAACGGACACAAATTTGTCTTTGGTTGCATGTATACCAATTTCAACCAACCATTTAAACAATTCATTCCAGAAAATTTGTGTTTGTTGACAGGTCCAAAATATATGTTCTATGCCATCTATTTCTATATTACAAAAATCACAAAGGCTAGGCTCCACTAATTTACATCTAAAGAGAAATTTATTAGTTGCAATATTTCTATGTAACAAATCAAAATAAAATTTTTTGCAAAATATTATCCTTACAAATATCAAACGCATTTAAATATACTTGTTGCCAATTAAAATTTTTATCTGGAAATACTGCCTCCCATTTTAACTGGGATTTTAGTTTCTCATTCTGGTATTTTAGCCTTCTTTCTTTTTGAACCTGTGTTAATTTTCTATTTCAGTTTTTTGTACAAGCTCATAAAAATTTATTTCCTCAGTTGTTACAGATGGAATGATATTATTTAATTTTCTTTTCCAACATGTTGGAATTGAAGAGATAAGTCTATGTTAATTTAAAAACTCAGTATTAAGAATGTTATACTCAGTTTTTAATTGACTAACAGTTTTTTTGCGTTTGTATCATAGATATCTTTTACATGGTATATATTTTTGTTTCTCCACTGTCTGAAATACAGAAGGTTATAGTTATTTTTTATATTTGAATTTTGCCAAAGAATTTGTTCTGATATATTTTGCGGATTTTCATTAAAATTTATTTCACTCCAAGCTACTAATACTTCGTGCATAAATTTATTTTTGATTTTAAATTTCAATATATATTTTGTGTATATATTGCATTCAAATAAAGATATTCCACCTCAATGATTATTTTTTCTTTATTATTTCATTCCACAACCCATTAATTGAGTCGTTTATTATTCTTTTTATCCAGTTTGATTTATTGAGTTCAAAAATATAGGAATGTCAATCAGTTTTTGTACTCCTGTATTATCACGTATGGTGAAATTTTGAAACATCTAGAAAGACATTCATATGGCGGTTATCGAGGAACCTTCAATGTTACAAGTTTTTGTCATTACATGAAAAGCGACATGTGGTTTGTGTTCTAAACAAAGAAACAATGAACGGGAAATATGGAGTATTTTCATTCGTCTAAGATTTTCACATGACCAATAGAAAGACCCCATCAAATAAAGGGGAGCAATTTAATTCACCAGCTACTTTCATTACAATTGAGCATTGGGTATATCGAGATAAGTTCGTTATAGTTTGATATGATTATTTGGCTGACTACAAATACTATTTTAATGATATCATCTTGGAAACCGCAATGCAAAAAATCATTCTTTCATTTCGGTTAAACTGCCGTTCAGTCGGGCATTTCTTAAAAACCCAGCGGTCACATCCCTGTTGTTCCTCACTTGCGCAGACTTCGAGATTACATATCTACTTATTACCTTTTAAGAGTATTTGGTACCAAGATGTAGAAAATTGATGATGAAATGTTGGAGATATGGAGTTTATGAAAAATGATCGGCGAGTTGCATACCTGTTATCATGTATATAAATAATATTTAAAGGCATGAAAAAGCACTGCAATTTTGATTGTTTGGCTAAGTTTAGGGGTTATAGAGAAGGTTGGGGAAGTGACCAATAAACGCGCGTAACACCTATGCCTGTAATAAAAGAGTATGTACCATTCTCCTGAATTCAAGCTTAGAAAAAATATTATTGAATGTTCTGAAAAATCATAGAGGGTTTTAATAAATTTTGATATACCGTGGAAAGCTTGCATGATTGCGGGTACTCTGGGCTTTATCTCGACAAAATCGGTTGGGTTACGACAAAGATATACAAACACAAAATCGGCGTGGTCCGTATCCAAATGGTCACAAAGTATTACCATTTTGACACATAAATGTCAATTATAAACACACTCATTGAAACCCTTCAAAAGTTATCATGCGAAAACAAATTGTCTACGGACAGACGGACGGAAAGTACTTACGAGTATACTCCATTTTTCACCGCATTGTTCCTTTAGCCATATCTAAGAAAAATAGCCATATAAAAGCTTACTGAATGCAATGACATAAAAGAAAAAGTAGAGCTACCTGTAACTACATACTTACTCTCCTGTAGGTGCAAACACTTCTTCGGGCGTATACAAAGAAAGGAAGCGTGAGTGCTTTTTGCTTATAATCAACAAGCATCATAATTACGGTGAATCAGGGCAGACATAGTGTTACAAATTATATGGTACATCAAATGATAATACGTAAATCAGTAACCAATAAGTGATTGGAACATGGCATAAATACGTTTTAAAACTTCACTTATCATACTTCAAAATCATGAAATCTTCAAATTAATATAAAATTCAATCAAATTTGTTTAATTTAAAAGGGTTTTAATGAGTTTTAATTCCCAATACAAATGCAAAAAGGGTTGAAAAAATTTATAAAATTCGAGCCTTTGGGACAAAATTATTTTATTAACGAGTGCATAATTCTAAGAATTACAAATTTTTATTCTATTTATCACATACCAAAATAAATCCGTTTAAAGTGAAAAAGAAATCAATTTTTTCAATTTTTATTTTAATTTGATTTACAGTGAAAAAAATAAAAAAGAGCAATTAACGTAAATAAAAAAAATCAACCAGATTACCCTTCCAACTCACTTTATTAAAGAATTAAATTAAAAATTTCTTTAAAAACCTCTTTTAGTTTCAGATTTTTTGTCCTAGACAATTTTCCCAAAGTTTTTAATATGAAAAAAGGGGAAAACACCCCAAAAATTGGGCCAAGTTTAGATTTAAACGATTCTTTCTTTTCACTGCATCTCTACCTCAGTGAGATTTATCTACCTACCAAGTGGGTTTTTTGTTGAAAAACTTCTTTGTAGTTTCAGAGTTTATGTCCCAGACAAGAAAAAGGGGACGGACAGATATACAGACAAAGCGGCGACTTTTATACTCTCCCTTTGGGGACACAAATAAAAAGTAAAGCCAATTTAAAGATAGTGACAAATCAGCGTTGCTGTAGATAAACCTGGTACTTGGTAAATGCGCCTTCTTAAGCGTTAACTTTGCCAATCACTTCTCATTTCTCGGTGTAAAGTTCATTATATGACGGGGGTGCGGCTGGCTCCCTGTCAGCGTCAGTTTCCAATTGGGACTGAGGCATAGCAGCGTTGATTCCAATAACATCCGATCTAGCTATCAAACGCTGAAAGAAAATAAGGGCTGGCGAGTTAGCAATGGTTTGGATTTGAACGCACCCCTCTATCCTGGACTCCGGTGTTTCCCAATATTCTCCCCAAACCTTCCCCCCCCATGCCGCCCCCAAAATTTCATCCCCGGGTTTCCCAGTCTTTTCCGTGACTTTTGTCGAGGCCCCCCCAAAAAACCGGGGCCCAAATGCAAATTCATTTTTTGGGTTCTAAACCAATCCCCTAAAACCTTTGTTCCTTCATAAAAAGGGCGTGTTACCCTTAAACCCGTGAGGGAGGGTTTTTCAAAAATCCAAAGCATTTTTCTTCTGCGTTGCTTTGGGGCGGTAAAAAACACCAATCTGACTGGAAAGGGGGAGACAAAATAGCCTAAAAATATCCCCCACCATTTCCCAACCATTTTCCCGATACGGGGACTTTAAAAGCTTCCCTTTTATGACCGATTAAAAACCCTGAGCATGCCGCAAGCTTTTTTGGAATTTTTGAATTTCACCCGGACAGCTTACAACTTGATAAACATATCTCTCACTAGAGGGTGAGCGGGGTACTTCGTAGAATACGTCAACGGCAACCTCTGTAACATTAAAGAGAAAAATCAATGTGCAATTTCACTAATAAAGTGAATGCCCGAGAACTTAATGAGTTGTTTATTCGTCAGATTTTTCATTACCGGAAAAAGACATAGCTAGTAAACCAACCATTCTAAAACGTCATATTTCAGCAATAAGTCAATGAGAGTATCTTAAATTCTGCATATTACTGACCAATTCTCCCTAAGTAACCGACAGATCTTTAAACACAAATCCTTTCAGAGCCAATCAAACTGAATCTAATTGTATTGATTCCAACATACATGTATACTAGCTTGCAAATCCGAGTTATATAGACAAAATACTCAATGAGCATATCAATAAAATATATCTGACAGTACTCACGCGTCATTGGCATGTTGCCAGTTGCCTTGTTTTGCCTTTGTGCTTGACGCTGCATCATTTGTCGCTGCATCTCAAACTGCTGTCCCGCCATTAACTCTACACTGATCAGCCGGCCGCCACCTTGTGAAATATTGTTCAGTGTTTGAAATATATGATTATTGTCGGTCGTACTTTCGAAGTGAGCACCGGCATTGAGAAACACGTTACCAGACCACTGTATGAACATCTGAGTGATCAATGTAGATTTTTCAACACGTAACTGCCACTGCTGGTCCATTTCTTCTGGAAGCAGCCTTCGGAATATACCTTGTAATTTTATATTAACTTGACAATGACCAAGGGAGGCTAATCCGTTACTTTTTGTAGAACCAGGTAGAGAAACGAATACTAGCATTTTAAAGCCTTGGTCATACATTGCAGCGAGCTGTGGATAGTACTGTTCTACGTTAGATGACTGAAATGATACGCTCGGATCACTGAAGCTGAAATGAGCTTGTACATCAAGCGTCGCATTGTTATTGATGTGATGATACTGGATAGGATGACCGTTATAGGGAGGCAACGACGGCAGATTGACCATCGGTTGTCTAGGTAACGCTTGTCCATGTGACCTCTTTGAGTCAGCTTTACTTTCTGACATCCCCATGTTGCTTTTTCTGTAAACATAAAAAGCATATTCCTTTACTGTTATTAAAGTTGTACAATATAAAATAGCTTACAATTTTGACAAAGGGATCTGATATGCACATATATATTTTTTCCAAAATAGATCGCAAAATCTCTTAAAGAGGATCCTTTCTGAAGTATATAATGTCCCCCATTCTTTTACATTTCCATAACCAGATCCCTTCCGGGATGTGCTGTACTCGAAGCTGTGAAGCTATCCATCCTACGTAACAATGTTGAATTGGTGACTTATCTTGATTTACACTAGAGTGGAGAAGAGGATAACTTTTCAAAAAGCCGTTTTGGAATGGAACACTGCCATTGGTTGTGACTGTCAACCCAATATCACAAATGAACACAGGAAGGGCTGAAACTTGGTTGCAAGACAGCATGAGAAGACGCCACCGATAAACTACAGTAGTAGACTGGCATTGTGCATATAGTATGGTCTAAATGTGTTGATAGTATGGTTCCAATTTGTTTAAGCTATCAATCAATATAAGTAAACCTATCAAAAATATATAATAATTACATTTTTCCCATCCAGGTTATGGACCGAAGGAGGTGGGGGGCGGGCACTGACGTTAAATTTGTAATGAAACTGTTCTAATATCTAATGTCACATCCCTGTATACATCAGTATATGTAAATTATATTAGATCACGCGGTACTCCATATTGATTTGTTAGTTGGATATTTGAGTATACCCACACATAGTGTGTTAACCATTCTAATGTATAACAAGAAAAGCATTGATGCAAAGCATCAAAGGGCGTCCAAGCAAGAAATGCAGCAAGTGAAGATGAACTAGTAGACATATGATGACAAGATATTCTTATAAACTTTTCAATATGATCAACACCACACTTGTGTAATTGTCCCTTATTATGTTATCGCTATTAGCGAAGACCCCCTCTTAAGGTATCTATTCACACTTAGTAAAAATATGACACTGGTTATATTACCATGTTGATCATGTTGAGCATAATTGTTTATTATACAATAAATGTTATATAATTATATTAATTTTGATAAAAAAATTACAGATTTTATGAATATTGTTTTCTTTTCTTTTTTTGTGTTTTATGTGCTTTTTATGTTTACTTACTTTTTTTAATTTAAATTGTAAAATAAATTTTAAGAATTCAATTGTCATATTGACCGACGATTATAAGTCAAAAATTAACTGGAAAAAGTCAGTAAATAATGGTTAATCTTTCAATATATAATATTGTTTATTCTTATATTCTTAAACCATGTACATTTGTATTTTTCTTTATCATTTTCTAAATTATCAATCAATTTAATAATTCATAAAATCTAATTTGTAACTTTGAATAATTCCTCGGCATCTTTACTAACAACGAATAACAAATTAAATAAAAAGTTTCAAAGTTGATAGTGTCGTATTATTACTATAAAAATGTACCTTTTTCTCAATTATTGTACATATTTATTGTTTTTATGTCATATAGATAAAATGAAACATGCTATTGTTGTTGTTGTTCTTGTTGGTCTGTTTTTTTTTTCGAATTGTATGTTTATGTATAATAAAAATCAATAAATTTGAGAGTTGATCTGTGTTCATTAATTATTGTAACCAAATTAACTGACAAACATTCATTTTGGAAAAAAAAGCTATTTATCTGTAAAATATTTGTTTTGTTCTGTAACGATATCAAACATCTACTCCAAAACCGGGAGAGACCGGACAATAAACGTGTGGTACTATTCGCCGGTCACTAGTAAATCCCGGTCAAATAGACCTGGAATTACCGATAGGAGCACACCCCTCTATAAATAGATTTTCGGAATATTTAGGTCATCAACTCATCATTCTATTTATTACAGCTTTCGGATAAATGTACAACAATAACATACCATAATAACCCACTGTGTAAATAAAAAAAACCGAAGAGCACGATTTATTGACGGAAAAGGTTATTTCATTTGAAAATGTTTGCAAGTTCGCTATTCATTGTACCACGGATTAATTAATAATCAAGCACCTTTATACCGTTCGGAATGATCGGCTTTTATTATGACCGACTAAAAGGCTCCAGAAGTTGCTGTCGGCCTTTCACAAAATCTGATTTCATTCCATAAAGGGGCGCCGCGCTTCGGCGCGGGCGCCAATAAATGTTTATAATTATCTGTGTAGTTTGGGCTGAATACTCATTGATACTAAGTATCTTTACATCACTTGATTCTATTCTTACAGACATAATTTCCATTTTAACAGAAATAATTTCTATTTCTACACACATAATTTCTATTCTTACGGACATAATTTCTATTTTATACGGACATAATTGCTGTTCTTAAGTACATAATTTCCTTTTTACAGATACAATTTCTATTCTTAAGGCATAATTTCTATTCTTAAGACATACTTTTTTTTCTTACCGACATAACTTCTATTCCTACAGACATAATTTCTTTTCCTACGGACATAATTTCCATTCTTACCGACATAATTTATATTCTTACAGACATAACTTCTATTCCTACGGACATAATTTCTATTCTTACAGACATAATTTCTATTCCTACTGACATAATTTCTATTCTTACAAACATAATTTCTATTCCTACGGACATAATTTCTATTCTTACAGACATAATTTCTATTCCTACGGTCATATTTTATATTCCAACAGACATAATTTCTATTCTTACCGACATAATTTCTATTCGTACAGACATAATTTCTATTCCTACGGTCATATTTTCTATTACAACAGACATAATTTCTATTCTTACCGACATAATTTCTATTCTTACAGGCATAATTTCTATTCTTAAGGACATAATCTCCGTTCTTACGTTCATAATTTTATTCTTACAGACACAATTTCTATTCTAAAGACAGAATTTCTATTCTTACCGACACAATTTCTATTCCTACAGACATAATTTCTATTCCTACGGACATAATTTCTGTTCATACAGTCACAATTTCAACATAACATTGTTTATAAATGTATAAAAACTACATTTTATTAACACGAATTTTGTAAACCACTATAACGTATGTTAGAAACAAGCTCGTATGTTAAAAACAAACTGTTTTTTTCTTTCATTTTTAACTTGTTATGTTGTTCTGTTATTTAATTGTAGAAAGGTTCGTATATAGCACTGGTGCTGATTGTATAAATTTTGAATAAATAAACTTACTTGTGTTTACTTCTCTCAAGTATTTTTCTTTACATTTCTTTACATTTCAGCACCAATACGCTCAATTGATCAAAATGAGTGTTTTGACTTAAATGTCATTAATTGACGAGATGAATCTAAAGAACAATATAAAGAGTAGGGATGTCATCCGGAGTCCGGATATCCGAACGTTCGAAATCACGATTCAATTTTCAGATCCGGACATTCGTATAAAATATTTCAGTCAGAACAATGAACTAAAAAACATGTCATAATTATGTGTCGTTTACTTGCGTTAAGATAACCGATTAAATAGCCATTCAAATTATCAAAAATGATTTTTTAAAATATACTTTTATCTTTTATAAAACGTGAAATTTCTTATCAACATCATAATATGAAGATAGTTACCTCCACATAAAGTCCCGTTTTTATCAATTTATAAAATTTCTACAACTGTTTGCTAAGTCGCTAGAGAAGAAAGCTTTCTAAATGTCAGTTTTCTTTCTTTTTTTATATATTTTAAATAAAATATGTCTTTAGAAGTGACTAAGCAGTCGTTTTCCAATTCTTTTCCAAACTTTTACAAGATTAAAATTTTAGGCCGCTAGCCAATGTTACCTTCTATATTCGTCGAAGGGTTTTTTTATAGTTCTCTTTTGTGATTGAGACTGCAAAAACACACAGAGACAGTAAAATAAATAAATTATCAACACAAAGACAGGAGTTAGGTTTTCACTCTACATCTGTAATTCAAATCTGCCGTGCATTCCATAAACATACAAAACCGTCAAAATCATGAAACAAACGATGAAAGAGAAAATGAAGAATGAATATACATGTATATCAATACACTTTATAAAAGTAAAATTACCTGCAAAAAACACACAGAAACAGCAAAATAATTAAATAATCAACACAAAGACAGAGTTAGGTTTTCACTCTACAACTGTAATTCAAATCTGCCGTGCGCATGCGTGGCGGTAAATCATGACGAAAAAAAATGAGGCCCGTCACCAGTTTCTATAGTTGTGTATGATATATGATGAATGATTATGAGGCTATGGGAGTAATATGAGATGTTGAGTGGATGGGACAAGGAAGAATATATTTATTTAAGAAATTGCACTATATATCATATAAGATATAATAATGGTAAAAATATATACATGTATTATATTAATAACAAAGACCCTGTGACATCCTTCCCCGCTCAGTCAAATGTCGTTCAGACATTTCCAATATCATACAAGTCATCTAAATTAATACTACAACATACCTAGGGTCAGAAGTCTATAAACATCTACTTTTTACAAAGCAGTCACAAAATATTCCACCAACAGCTATGTTGTTTAGGTTATAATTAACATTTAGTTTACATTAACGTTCTATCAAAAAAAGAAACGTTAATGATCAAGATAATTTCATACATTCCAAAGGAATGTTTCACAAAGTATTTAAGATAGACTGCAGTTCTATCTAAATACAAAAATTAAAATTAATTCTTTACCTTTCTTGTGTAGTTATACACATAGAAAATAAATAAACACTGTATCAGACATTTCAAATAATCCGACATGTTCAAATTTTATTTATTTATAATGCAACAATTATCACAATAAATGGAAGATAATAATGCAAAATTGATGCTACATATACTGGCAAATATAGCACTGGAATTCGTGAAGATTTTAGTAAAACTACAAATCATGTAGATAAAAGATAACGAAACGAAAACATGTAAAATCATCAATATCAAGTAATCCAGTCTTTGTCACGTAACCAGGCAGGCTTCTGTCTTGTCAGGAACAAATTCCTCAGCTTTTGGATTGAGAGTAGATGTTCTTCTCTGAGGAATAACATATTTGGGAACATCTTGACTTTCTGGTGTGTTATCTGAAATGTTAGAAGAAGAATCAGTGATGGGCTCGGTCTGTACAAGAAGCTCGGGTCCATCATTCTCATAAGAGGGATTTAACTGAGCTTTCCGTACAGGCAAACCCATAAATGGGAACAAAAGATTTATGTGGAGAGTTTTTATGCAACCTTGACCATGTTCTGTTCTAACCTGAAAAACAGGTATAGAAGGATTAGGTTGAGATGTCACAATATAAACCTCCTTATCCCACCTATCAGCTAACTTGTTTTTTCCCTTTCAGGTCTACGTTTCTAATCAAAACTCTAGCCCCGCGCTAAATTTTAGCGTCCCTAAACCTTAAATCATTACGACGCTTATGTCGTTTACTTTTACGCCTGGACTCACGGTTGACAACCTTATATGCAAAATGGAGGCGTTTCTTCAAAGAAGAAATGTACTCCGAGGTACTTTTCTTGGCTGAAGTTTAGTCAGGTTCGATTCCAAGAAAAGAAATAGATAACCTCGGATGCCTCCTAAACATCAAAAAAAGGGGGTGAGCCCAGTGGTCTCATGCCTCGTAGAATTGTAACCATGGACTAAGGTGGGTATATGAGCCTTCCAATTCTGCTTTTGCTTAGTTTCCAGGGTCCCCAACATATTAAAAAGAGTCTGATAAAACATTTCGGCCATTCCATTTTCTTGTGGGTCATCTTTGATAAGGAGTTGTGTGAGACTTGTTCAATATTGGCAATCTTGCACAGCTCACTTAATCACCCCGCACTTTCGAAATTTCGACCCTGGTCCTATATAAACGGCTGGGAAAGCCATAGTGAATATAAAATACTTCCAAAAGATTTTGGCTTTTGTACGTTTAGGGACCGTTTGGTTTTTAGTAGTTTATGGCCTGTGCAAAGCGGGTAAAGGTGATCCGTAATCACAAGTTATTATTTTTCTAACCGCCTGCAGACATTTTTAAAAAGATACGAAATTTCCATACAAACTTAATTCAAGGGGGTTTAAGACGTGTCAATGGGAATTTTAAACCAGCAGGAGAAACTTTGGCATGGTGTTTCTGAAAATACGGCGGGGCCCAGTTTTGACCCACGATTGTTCAAACAACTGTTCTAAACCAGGCGGGTAAAAACCGTCGATTTTAAAACAGCCCTAAAAAGGTTCTCCCCCGCCCCTGATGTGGGACATCATGAAGGCCGTAAAACATTTTCAGGGAAAATTTTTCCCGGAAAAGAACAATTTTGTTTTAATTTAAAAAGGGCCAGAAAAATTTCCCTTTGCGAAAAAGGGAATATGGGTTTTTGATAAAAAAAAATTTGCCCATTTCCCCTTAAAATATGGTCTTACAAGTGAGTTTTTTCTAAAGAACAAAGAGTCTATTTTTTTTTCGACTAAATGGGAAAAGTGCAAAGGGTTTAAAAATTTTTCCCCGTTCCACCCAAAATTCAATATCAAAAAATTTTTGGGGGTCTAACGGTTCAACCTTTTTCCATCGAGGGTCTAACACAAAACTAAAGAAAAAAAAATTAAACACCAAAAAAGGGGGTTTTCCTGGAGTTTAAACAAAAGTAATAGGCAAAGTCCCTTTACAATCTTTTAAATATAACTGTACAGGACAAGGAAAATGTGGAAATAGTGAAAGTGTGTCTGGATCGACGTTGAACTGCGATAAAATGATAGTTTTAAAACAAAAATTAAACTTAAGAAACTAACCAACGGTGAGACGTTGCGTATGTTTTGAAATGGGAAAAAAACATAAGTTTAAAAGGGTTATTATCAGTACGGGGTTTGAAAATAACCATACAAAATACTCTTAGAAATTATCACCCCACAGCCAATTTTGAGCAAGGGAAAATTTAAAATTTTTTGAGCGGGATTTAATTTTCCCTTATTTGGGTTTTTCCCACGAATTTTCAAAAGGGAACAGCTCTTTTTTTATTATGTAAAATTTTGGGATAAAACCAAACAATGCCAAATCCCCTGGCATCGATTTTTCTAAAAAAAAATGGTTTTTCTGAAATCCCCCATATAAGATGGTGGCGGTATAAAACACTTTTTGTAATTTAAATCAAAGGCAGATTGTTGATCAGGACCCCATTTCCAAGGTGTAGCTTAATTCTTGGATTTGCTGGCTTTTTTGGTAGGATGACCAATCAGTAAATCGTTCAGTGGTTTGGTTATCTGGGAAAACCCTTTGATGTACCGCCTGTAGTAACCAGCAAAACCAATAAAGCTCCTGAACTCCTTGATAGATTTTGGGACAGGCCAATTCTTTAAAACAGCAATCTTGTCGGGATCGGTTTCGACACCATGTTCACTGTCAATATGGCCTAAATACTTCACACTGGTTCGAAATAAATCACATTTAGAACCTTTAAGCTTGAGACCAGCTTTTTCCAAACGCTGAAAAACAGAATTAAGACGCTGAAAATGCTCTTCTTTGGATTAAGAAAAGATGATAATGTCATCTAAATAGATGAGACATCCAGTAAGGTTAAGATCACCCATAATACGCTCCATCAGACGCTGGAAAGTAGGCTAGGGGCATTGGTAAGCCCAAAACCCATACGGTAACACTCTTAAAAACCGAGTGGACCAACCGAAAAGGCTGTCTTATACTTGTCGGCCTCCTTCATGGCAACTTGCCAGTAAAATGATCGAAAGTTAAGCTTAGAAAAGAATTTGGCACAAACTAAGCTATCTATGGTCTCGTCTATCCTTGGCAAGGCATATGCATCCTTGATGGTTCTATTGTTTTGCCGACGGTAGTCCAATACAGAATCTTAAAGGCCCATCTTTCTTACGTACAAGGACTACATTCGAAGAGAAGGGACTATTACATTCTCTAACGGCACCAGCAGCTAATATATCTTTCAGATGTTCCCCTGACTTCAACATACATAGCCCGGTGGAATACGCCGATAATGATCCTTGAAAGGGGTAGGATCATGGAAAGTGACATGTCTGCATTGTTTTTCTGGCAGTAGAACCTTCAAAAAGGATCTATTCTTCCAACGACTTCTATATCTTGAAGACGACAAAGAGAGAATTGGGTTTAATGACCACAGGATGGGCAGACATATTTACACATTGTCACAGGTATCCTACAAAAAGAAATTGAAGGTTTCACATGGACAAGGTTTGGGACAAACAGATACTGATACATTTATTGTCAATATCTCAGTAACAGCTTCAGACATATTACAAACATTGCGAACCTTGCCAATAACAGTCTTGGTCTCAAAAGGTGGATCTGAACACTGATATCACTAAGACTCTCAGAAGGCAATTTCACAGAAGGTCATATTACGTTTATTTAAATATTTACAAATATGTTAAAAAAAAAAATTTTTTAAAAAAAAAGAAAATCCCCAAAAAAAAACAAAAAAAAATAAAAAACCAAAAATAAATAAAAAAAAAAAAAACAAAAAAAAAAAAAAAAAAAAAAAAAAAAAAATACATATTACGGCCCCGTACATCTAAGTATTCAAATTTCACTTTTTTTACCTGTCTATCTATAATTAACGGAATTCCGTATCCTTTATTGTATCCATATATTTTGCGCAGTGGTCATAATGGCGTACAATGCGTAAATTTTTTAGTCATTTAGACTGAGTATACATTTTAAAGGACGTTTAAAGAAAAAAATCAAAAAATTATTTCAGGAATTTTTTAAAAAGCCCCTTTAAAGCCGAAAAATGCGGCTAAACTGAACGTCAAATTTTACACAAAATTGACAGTATTCTTTCTATTTTTCAAACATTTTTCGGCGTAAAACGATAAATTTTATATCAGCTTATAGGAAAAAATAATTTCCGTCGAAAACTGTAGGATTAAAGATATTTTGTTCGCCAATAGCGTTGAAATAC